TTTCTTTCTTTCTTTCTTTCTTTCTTTCTTTCTTTCTTTCTTTCTTTCTTTCTTCTTAATGAACAAATTCCCTTTTGTGCTTGGCCCCAGTTAGGTTAGGCTCTTGACTACTCCCTACTCAAGACAATTACAATGAGCTTTTATTTCATTTTCGTCTTCATTTTGGTAGCCAGACGACTATAGTGAACAAAGTAATGCAACATTGTGGTGGTTTTCGATTAATTACACAATTCTATCTGACCGAGCTATCACATGGGCCGCACTCCTCTAAGTCAGGCTTCCGTCATTCAGGGCTTTGTTGGCTGGCTTGCCGTACACGTTTCTATGTTATTACCCAAAATCTGTCGACTTCTAAAAAACGCTGACTTACCTACAAGGAGAAATAATACCCTCCCGGACTGGGGAGATGGCTTAGGTGGTAAAGCCTGGGTCGTGCAAGATGAAGACCTGAGCTGAGGTCGCAGCACCCATATAAACACTGCCCCGCTTGTGGGAGGCAGAGGTGGATCCCAGGACAAGACAGCTAGCTAGACGTGAGCCCGTCATTCGGGTGAGAGGCCTCGCCTCAGTGTGCAAAGTGGACAGCAGTGGAGGAAGACTCTCCATACCGACCTCTGGTCCGTACGTGCTCACACAGGCAACACACATGCACACACACACACACACACACACACACAAGAAAACATGTACACGCTCCATATGTACAGACCACGCAAAAAAGAAATATAGTTCACTTAAAAATTAAAACACTCAGCTGGGCAGCGGTGGCGCACGCCTTTCATCCCAACACTCTTGGAGGCAGAAGCAGGTGGATCTCTAAGTTCAAGGCCAGCGTGGGCTACAGAGACAGTTCCAGGACAGCCAAGGCTGTCCAGGGTTGCCTTGGGGACAACCACTCATTAGAATTTACTCCAATTTCTGGTAAGACATTCTTAGTGGTTTCATATTTGCTCTCGACCAATGTTTATTAAAAATAAAGTCACATTTAAATTTTTAAATTGGATCTAGACCTTTTAACTGAGGTTGAGCAATATTTTAATTGATTACTTTTTTCAGAGGATTTTATCTTAAAAGAGAGAACTTTCTAAATGACAAAAACATAAAAGCTGCTCACAACCACCCCTAACTCCAGTTCCAGGAGATCTGACGGCCTCTTCTGACCTCTGTGGGCACCAGGCACATATGTGATACACACACATGCAACCAAAACACACATGTACACAAAATAAATCTAAAACCAGCTTTTTAAACATCAAAGTGACCAATTATTC